TATTGTTGTGTTGGCTGTTGTCGTTTTTTTATTTGACAATCTAAGGGAAAAGGGGTCAGTACCCCTGACTAAATAGTCAGGTATTGCATGTTTTAAAAAACCTTGTGGCACACAGGTTGAAAATCGCTGATATAGGCCAATGGAGTAAAATAAAGAGCCCAAAAATAAACCAACACATACATGGTCAAATGATTTTTGCCAAGTGTCTAGAACATTCAGTGGGTATTTTCTACAAACGATGCTGGCAAAACTGCATATCCACATGCAGAAGTATGAGGTTGGATCCTTAATCTAACACCATTTACAAAGATTAACTTAAAATGGATCAAAGACCTAGAAAAGCAAGAGCTAAAATGATAAGACTTAGAATAAAACATAAGGGGAAATCTTCATGACACTGAATTTCATAATGATTCCCTACAAATGACACCAAAAGAAAAAAGATTACGCTGAAATTTCAACAGAGCAAAAAAAGTACCTTAGAATGGGAGAGAATATTTACAAATTACATATCTGATAAGGGATTAAATCCAGAATATATGAAGAACTCCATAAACAACAACAAAAGTAAAAAGCAACCCAATTCAGAATTGGGCAAAGGACTTGAATAGACATTTCTCTAAAGAAGATTTACAAATGGCCAGTGAGCAGATGAAAAGATGTTCAACTTCATTAATCATTAGAGAAATTCAAATCAAAACCACAATTAGATATCATTTCCCATCTATTAGGATGGCTATTATACACAAAACCAAACCAAACAAGAAGTGTTGTCAAGGGTGTGGAGAGTTTGGAATCCTCGTGCACTGTTGGTAGGAATTTAAGATGGTGCAGCTGCTGTGAAAAGCAGTGTGGAGGTTCCTCTAAAAAGAAAACAGAATTATCACATCCAAAAATTCCTCTTGTGGGTGTATACCTAAAAGAATTGAAAGCAGGGACTGTGGCAGATATTTGTACACCCATGTTCATAGCAGTATTATTCACAGTAGCCAAAAAGTAGAAACAACCCAAGTGTCTCTTGACATGAATGGATAAACACAATGTGGTACATGTATACCATGGAATATTATTCAGCATTAAAAAGGAAAGAGATTCTGACACATGCCACAATATGGGTGAACCTTGAGCATAAATGAATAAGCTGGTCACAGAAAGACAAACACTGTGTGATTGCACTTATATGAGGTCCCTAGGGGAATCAAAACCATGATAGAGACAGAAGGTAGAATGGTGGTCCCTGCAGGCTGGGGAATGGGGATAGGGAGTTACGGTTTAATGGGTAGAGTTCCAGTTTGGGAAGATGGAAAAGTTCTGGAGATGGATGGTGGTGACAGTTGCACAACAGTGTGAATTTGCTTGATGCCACTGAGTTGTACTCCTAAAAATGGTTAAAATGGTAGGTTTATATTATGTGTATTTTGTCACAACAAGAGGAAGCTGCTTCTCCATGGTACTTCTGACTGCCCCC